TCCCGAGTTGAAAGTTGCGGACAAGTTGCTGCGGACACACACACACACACACACACACAGACAGACAACCCCGTAACAATATGAGTTTTGTACTGCTGTTACACAGCACAAAATGCATAAAAAAGAAAACAAAGGGCCCAAAGAAAAAAAAAAACGTTTAGTAAAAAAGCAAAAAAAGCTAAACGAAACACTGATTTTGAGGTACTTCACCGAAAATGAAAAAATGCTTACAAATTTTTGTTAGTGAGAAAGGCAGTGATAATAATAATAGTAGTATGGTGCGCAAGCTAGCAAACCCAATGAATTTTTAAAGTGTTTACCTGAGTGTCACCGTCCTCAATAGGCTTATCTGAGTCGAGCAAATCCACAGCCACGCGCACCAAAATTCTCGTTCCGATTACTTGTTCCACACGTGCTGGGCGTACTCTTTTCGAAAATGTTGAATCCAAAAGCTCCAGTATATCGCCTTTCTAAATGGCTGCTATTTTTTTGAAATGTTTTTTCGATTAACAATACGCATATGAATTTCAGCTTTGTACTGTTTCATTACTGCTACTGTTGCTACTGTTCTAGCTATACATTAATATCCCCAACATAAGCAAGTAATCCTAGCGAAAAATAAAGGCTATCACTAAAGCACTGGTAACTGCTTCGATCGGGTGGACCAAATAAACTGGTAATTCCTACAGAAGATAAAACGCATAAAAACACAGCTAACAGAATGCTGCAGCACTGGTCAAAGCAATTCGAAAAGTTGTTAGCTGCATTTTTAATAACCAAACTACAAATTGCAAGGGATCCATGTATTCCAGCTATAAAAGTCAGGCCACACGGATTACCGGGTGCGCAGTTCCGATCTTGCTGAAATGTATATACAAACCCTCTCCTTGCTCCAGATTTCGAGCACCGAGTTTTTCCCGGCTACTTCCACCAAAAATATGTACCACATTTTCGAGGATTGCTTGGACAGATGCTTCTTTTCCCGCGAACATCATTAACTGGCACACAATCTATAGACTATTAGCGATGCAGACATTATGCCCCGTCCACTGAATTTTACGATCACGAAAATATCGTGTTTTCATAGGAAAGAATATAAGAAATCTGTTAAAGTTTCAGCAAAAGCTAACTTTGAATTTGCACGAGCTCAATTTTCGAATTTGGATTTCG